ACAGGATTTTCACTGGATGCAAACCCCCTTCAAAAACCTTTGCTTACCCCCCTAAAAAATTTTCTAAAGGATTTTTTTTTAGATAATAAATTCAATTAAATCTTCCATTATTTACAATGAATTTATTATTATAACTTTATGAGCTTGCTGAAATAATTAAACCTTTTAAATGTAATTTAAAAGGATAGCAGTTATTTGGTAAACAAAATGTATAATTGTTTGCAATATATAGATTTAATCGATGATTTGTATTATAAAAGTTCTATAATAAAAGTATTAATTTTTACAGCAATAAATTTTGTCCTATTTCTTCTCAAAATTCAATAGATAATCCCCCCAAAAATTTATCCTACCCCCATTAAAGCCGCCTACCCCTAGCCCCTCAAAAAAATAGGATGCAAACTGTTCCTACCCCTCCCGCTCATGTAGACGCTGGGTCCTATGAATATAATATGCCAATTTAGTTAATCTTTAAATTTTTTAGCTGAAAGACCTTCAGATGGTAAATTTTCTCATTGTTGTCATAAAGGTAAAGTCAAGTTTCCACAATGGCCGTATCCTGATTATTTAAAAAATCTCTTATCTAATCCCTTAGATCCCTTGCATAAGATTTCATGCGTCATATTCGTTCTTACAATAGTTTTATTGCCTTTGCATCTATGGGAGCACAGATTTTAAAATTATTAGGTAATGGACCTTATTGTTTTAAAGTTCATGGGCAAATTTATCATCGCACATCTCATTTATATCCCCAGACTGATACCCTACCTAAATTTGCTCAGTTATTTATATACTGGATATTTCGCAGGCCATTGCAGGGCGTCTTCAGCACCCTGCCAATTCTGATTGTGATATAAATATAATGAAACATTTAAACAGGCTTGTTAACCGATCTTTTTAAAAAGATCGAATTCCGATCACGATCTTTTCAAAAAAAGAGGATCGAAATCCAGGATCGACCTTTTTTCTATTTAAATTTCTGAAGGAAATTTCTGACCGATGCAAAATTAACTAATATATGTTATAAATTTATTGTAATTGAATAATAATATAATATAACCAATGCAAAATTAACTAATATAAAAATAAATTAAATATGGTAGAAATTTATTGTAATTTAATAATAAATATAACAATTATAATATATTTATTTATAATTAAAATTAGCTTTAAATAATAAATTTTTTTCTAAATTATTATCATTTAAACATCCGCGTCTTTCATTTAGAACATGTTTAGCTTTACTAAACAAGCGCTCCACAGGAGCGCTTGATGGCAAAGTTTTATTATATTCAATAAATATTTTTTTAAAATTAATATAAGTATTAAAAATATTCATGGAATCATCATTTGAATAAAAAAAAATTTTAACGGAACTAGTATTTTATACGGTATTTTTCCCAAAAAAAGCATCAATGTCATCCATACATTCATTTGAAGTATCCGCATATGGTTGTTCCTGCATATTTTCCAAATGGGCAACTAATCTTTCTTTTACCATCATATTTTGTGGCCGATTAATATAAGGCCAATTAAGTTTAAATTTAGGGTGAATCATGGCTGCCAAAATGTTACTGTCTTCATACAGTGAAGGAAATCTATATTATGAGATGATAATTAATTTATTATTAAATAAGTGTTCATTTTATTCATATAAATCAAATCAAGTATCTGCAAAACTTAACCCTTTTAAATTTTACAGTCAAGTCTGGCACATCATCTGTATGGTATTTATTTATATTTGGGCTATATCATAAATATTGATTAAATGTAAACTTAATACTTAATATACAAAGAAATTAACATTGTAATTTATTTACAAAGAATATTAATCAAAATATTAGCTTAAAATTCAAATAATCTAATAAATTTTTAATGTCTTCAAAGGCCTATTAATATTTTACTAGATATCAGAGGTTTAGTAGAACTGGCCTGTTAAAAATATTTAACTAAATTTGCCAGATCTTTGCACTTTTTTTAATATATTTTGCAGATATCTGATAATATAAAATAATTGCATAAAGAAATATTACTTTTATCAATACCTCTAAGAACATTATCTACAAGGGGCTGACAATACCGCAGGCAGCTAAATTTCGTTAATTTATCTCTCAATATCGATAGAACGGGAGTTAGATATCCCTGCTCCATATTATCCTCCCGTTCCAAGATTTTTAACGAGATCGCCAAAGGTTCCATAACCTATAAAGTTTAAATTTATTTAGAGAATATCATTGTATTACTGTTGCATACTCTTTAACAAAAAAACATTCCACTTGCCAAAACATTGCAAATCCAATTTGATCACATACTTGTTCTACTTCTGAAAACTTTTCAGAAAGCATCTTATCTATTAATTTCATGGATTGGTAATAAGAATTCCATCTGAGCTATTAAATATCTTCCCAATTACTCCAATAAAATATCCGCCATTTTTGACGACATATTTTGTTTAATAACTAAAGCAAAACATTTTGCAAAAGTGGATCTAGATATTCGTTTATAATTGAGATCACTATCTGCCATCTCCGCATCTGTTGTTGCAATAAGGTTAAAATTATGGCAACAACAACGTTGATGATTTGGTAGGCTGATAGTAGGAATAATTGGGTCATCAACGGATAATATGTCATCCAAATTTATCAATTCCATATCCTCACTACTATCTTCTTCATTTTCTCCAAAAACTCTGGAAAAAATAAATTTATTTAAATATTTTTTGCTAAATATAAATATTACTTAAATGCCTTGACAAAGTTGGTTCCATTGTCAGTCACCATCTTCACCACCTTATTATGAATTTTATAGAACTTGTGGATACCCATGATTTCGTTGGCCAAAACATCATATGTTTGCCTCCCAATTATCCTCCTCAGTGCCAAAACGGCTGACCTTCTCTTGAGGGTTAACGGATCCAGTTAATGTGCAGTAAGTCCAATAAAAGCCCTAATAAAATAAACATTATAAAATTCATATAAATATAATATACCTTCGATGACCACTCCAACAATCAGCAGTGGTGCATACCTAAGAAACTTCAGACAAATCTCTTATAAGATTTGTCGTCATATAAGAGAAGGAAGTAGATATCCTGTTGCCCAGTGTTTGGCGACAAATAATTTTTGTCGTAGGAGAAAAAGTTTTAATCATTTTTTCAAATGAAGGATCATCAACCAGAGACAGTGGTTGGAAGGTGTCAATAATAAAATCCATGATAACCTTGTCTGCTGTTTTTTGCGATACAGCTGGAATGTTTAGATTGTTAAAATTTAATTTAGATTGTCTGGATTTGCAACCAGAACCACTTTGGTTTTGCAGTGATATATTTTTTTGTGTAGAGAATTCGTTGAGGTGTTTGGCAATCTCATTTTTAAATTCACTGTGCTTTTTCTTTATAAAAGAAAAAAATAGTATGTATCAAAGTTGGAAGAAAATAACTTCTCCTGAATCAAATTTCATTTTTAAAACTTTATATGGAAATTTAAAGTTAAAAAAAACAATGTACAGGCTTAATGTAAAACCTATATAAACAAAAAATGATAAAGGGTTCAACACAAATTTTGTTAAACATATTAAAGTATATTATTTAATTTATATATGGTTAAAAAAGGTTCATATAGGTTATTTTAAGTTTATAAAATTGTCTTTGTCTATCATTATTAAAAGTTGCTCAAGAATATGGGCTAAAGATTTTGATAAAATATTTTCCTATATATGAATATAATTAGCCTTTTTGGCATTTAAGAACTATGGATTAAGGGTTCAACAAATTTTGTTAAACATATTAAAGTATGTTTTATTAGTGGTTAAAAGGGGGTAGGTTATTTTAAAAATTTAAGTTTACAATATTGTCTATCATTATTAAAAGTTGCCCAAGATGATATGGGCCAAAGATTTTGATAAAGTATTTTCCTATTATGAATATAATGAGGCTTTTTGGCATTTAAGAACTTATGGATATAGTCAAATGATACAAAAAATACTTTCAATTCAAAATATATTATTAAAAAAAGCCCTAAAAATGTTGTCAAGAGGATTATATAATCAAGCGTAAACTGAAACTATAATACTATTGATTAGATTTAACATATTATAATAAAGAAATAATAGAATAGATATTTATTTTTCTTTTGGTGAAACATTGCTAAGTTTAATACAAATAACATTGAACTGGATGTTTCATTTATATTAAAGAAAGTCAAAATACATTTATAAAGGCTTAATTATTAGTTATTACACTTCCATTTATCATAAATACTCTTCTTTTGAAAATTAAACTAATATAATAATTAAAAAATAAATGCCTAATTATTATATATAAATAACAAAACCAAGATTAACTCTTCATCAAATATTTTATTAATTATACTGTATCTAATAATTCATTTTTTTTATAAAGAATCTGTATCTAGATTCTATTTCTGTAGGACCTGCTCAACTCAGGAATGTAATAAATTAAATTTAAACATGTTGATATTAAAAATTTAAAAGAAATACTTGTAAATGTCTCTTTAAGTTCGAGGATGATATTTTGGAAGATGATATTATCTTCTTACAGACGGTATTTGGTGCTGATCATATTATAAGAGTTGCTTTCATCCATTTCACATAAAGTAAAATAGTTACGTAATTTCAAAAATGGTAAAAGATTCTCATTCTCACTTATATCTGCTGTTACATCAATAGTAGAAGCAATAGAATCTTCTAAATCTATAATGGACATTTACATTTACCTATTAAAATAAATATTAATATATTATTATAAATTTATATTAAATAACTTGTAAGAGCTCTAAATCTCGTAAAATTTAGAAAATGAATAAATATATCTATAAAATAAATGGTGGAATGGAAGTTGATAATGGAAGTTGATAAAATATGAAGATAGATATTTTTTTTAAAATAATATTTTAATTTAATTTTCAAAATTTTTATTTTATTTATTGCTTTTTAAGTAAAAAATTAATTTTTAAAAAGATCGGGATCGAATTTTAAACAAAATGATCTCGATCCTCAATTTAAGTAAGAATCATAAATCTCGTAAAATTGACAAATATGCAATCGAATCCAGGATCGTAGATCTTTTGATTCGATCTTTTAACAACTCTGCATTTAGATATGTTGTACGCCAAATTAATCCATATGCTTTAAGTTTTAAAACGTTAGGTGAAGTTGAGAAAGCTGAGTTATCTCTTGCTAAACATTCAAATATATTATTGCCCAAGATTAATATGATATTTCGCGGAGATAGTTCTAGCGATCGTAGACGGTATAATTTACCAATAGTTGATGACGTAGCAATGATATTTACAAATGATGATGAGGAACCTCCTTTTAAGATAGATATAAAAGTGTATCCTAGATCCAATGGGAATGATTTAGTAATTCTTAATGTGTTAAGCCCTAATTTAGACCCAATGGTATACATTATACTATTTCCTCATGGAGATCCTGGTTGGGAGCCTAAAATGATTGCTGAAGGCTTTGAAAATTCTGGGCGTTCAAAAATATCTATGCTACAATTTAAAATTGCCTTTAGCGGTTAGACAAAATCTTTTGGAGACTAATTCAGCAATATATTGTAGATTCCTATCTACAGGTTGAAGCTAATAATCTTAATTTCATAAAGTTTAATCAGTCTAAGTTACGCGTTGAGGAATATTCAGGACTAATGGATTATTTAGCCTCCGATTTTTCCAATAATATTAATATACCTATAGGACGGGCAGTTATTCTACCATCTTCTTTTCAAGGTTCTTCTAGAAACATGCAAGAGCGTTATCACGACGCAATGTCTATCGTCTTAAAATATGACAAACCCGATCTTTTTATAACTTTTACTTGCAACCCAACATGGCCCGAAATATCCGAAAATCTTTTTAACGGTCAAACGCTTGCCGATAGACCTGATATAGTTTCTAGAGTTTTTAAAATTAAATTAGCTGCTTTTTTATCTGATATCACTAAAAATAACATGTTCGGGAAAACATTGGCATATGTTTATACAATTGAATTTCAAAAAAGAGGATTACCTCATGCCCATTTGTTGTTCATTATAAGTTCAGAGCATAAAATTGATACCGCTGAGGCTATAGATAAATTTGTATGTGCCGAGATACCAGATAGGACTAACAATTCACAATTATTTAACATTGTTACGCGTTTTATGATTCATGGCCCCTGTGGCATTCTTAATCCTCGATCACCTTGCATGGATAATGGCGTATGTACTAAAAATTTTCCTAAAGATTTTATAAATGATATAATAACAAATACTAATGGGTATCCTCTATATAAAAGAAGGGATGTAGGTTCTATATTAATATCCGGTAAACCTGTTTATAATCGTTTTGTTATTCCATACAATACCTACTTACTTTTAAAATACAATGCTCATATCAATGTTGAAATATGCACTTCTCTTAAATCAGTAAAATATATTTTTAAATACGTATATAAAGATTATGATTGTGCAAATATCGATTTAAATTTAGAATCTCTCCCCCCTAAATATGATGAAATTAAAAGTCATTTAAACACTCGGTATGTTAGCTCATGTGAAGCGATGTGGCGGTTATTAGAGTATCCCATGCATGATCGTTCACATGCCATTATTCGATTAGCTCTCCATATGCCTTTTAAACAATCTGTCTATTTTCAACAGGGCGATGAAAGGGAGGCTTTCAAAAGAGCTAATTTACATAAAACTACACTTACTGCTTGGTTTCTCTTAAATCAATTTAATCCTTGCGCCAGACAATATCTATACATTGATATTCCTTATCACTATGTTTTTGTCAATTATATCTGGCAAGAAAGAAAACGTGGCCATCAATCTATCATCTCTAGAATATTTTCTACCGATATTAAATGTGGAGGTTTTACCTACGCCTACTTCTTCTTCATGTTCCTGGAGCAACAAGCTTCGATTTTTTGAGAACTGTTGATGACATTTTGTTAGATACCTTTAAAGAGACTGCTATCAAAAGACATTTATTTTCTGATGATAAAGAGTGGGAGCATTGTCTTGAAGAGACATCCTTATTTCAAATGCCTTTTCAATTTAGACTCACTTTTGCTTTTATATGTATTTTCGGTCAACCTCAAAACCCTGAATATCTATGGGATAAATTCAAACCTTACCTAATTGAAGATTTTTGGCGTACTAATTCTTAGTCAATTGTTATTAATTTAGCTGTATGATATTTTTAATATTCTTAATGCTCACGGGTTAGATTGCAACAATTTTAATCTTCCTATCCCTGAGCCTATTCTTCAACCAAAATTATATGATTCAGTAACGGAGACAGCTAAGGCTTTAGTAATGTTATCCAGTTTAAATTCTTTACAAAAATACACTTTTGATCTAATTATTCACGCAATAGAAGATATTTCATGTACCACTAGATATTTTTATCTTGATGGTCCAGGGGGATCAGGAAAAACTTACCTTTACAATACTTTAATATATTATCTTAGAGGGCAAAATAAAATTGTTTTGCCATTTGCTACAACAGGAATTTCATCCATACTACTAAATGGTGGAAAAACAATTCATAGTGGCTTTAAACTTCCTATACCTATTTTAAACACATCGGTTTCGCATATGAGACCTCTATCTACACAAGCTAAGGAAATTAAACTTGCCCACTTAATAATTATAGATGAATCAAGCATGATGACAAAACATGCTATACGTTGTATAGATGTCTTGCTTAGGGAAATTATGCAAATAATTACTCCCTTCGGAGGCAAAGTTATTTTATTAGGAGGTGATTTTAGACAAACTTTACCTGTTATACCTAGGGCTTCTAAAACATGTATCATCGAATCATGTATTAAATCTATGAATTTATGGCATATTTTCCACCAAATTCAATTAACCCATAAAATGCGCACTTATTCTGAAGAGGAAAGTTATATTAAATGGCTTCTACAAATAGGTGAAGGGAATACACCACTATTACCTTCCCCCCTTCCTTCTTACTATGTAGAAATTCCCTTATCTATGCTTGAGAATTCTCTAATTTCATCCATATATGGTGATTCTCTTTTACTTAATAATATTGATTATTTATCTACCAGCATAATTCTAACAACAAAAAACGATATTACACTAACGTTAAATAACACTATTATATCAAAACTTCCATGCCCTTTAAGACAATATTATAGCTCTGATTCATTCCTTTCCGATCACACAGATGATTCTCTCAACTATCCACTTGAATTTCTAAATTCTCACACCTTCTGGAATTCCACCGCACACACTATCATTAAAAGTTAGCACAATTATTCTACTTCTCCGCAATATGAATCCTATAAAAGGATTATGTAATGGCCCCCGATTAATAATCAAAAGTATGCACAATTATTTTTTGGATGCCGAAATAATTACAGGCACCAATAAAGGTTACAGGGTCTTTATTCCTCGCATTGATCTAACTCCAAGTGAATCACAATAACCCTTTATTTTAAAACGTCGTCAATTTCCAATTCTTCCTGCATTTGTTATCACTATAAATAAAACCCAGGGACAAACCTATAGAGAATATAATAAAACTAGCTAATAACCCGTCAAGAATGACGGAGTTGAGGGGTAATTAGTTGGTTTGTTTATATGGTACTAAATATAGTTTATTAATATATATAATCTCCATAGGCAAAACACGATCTTTTTCGTATCTCCTTAATCTATTTAAAATTTAAGAAGACTATATAGTGTAATGATAATTTATAAAATTTAGTAGAAAAAGAGGTAAATTTGTGAATCATACCTCATAAGATATTCTTAATTTCTGATTCAAATATGGGAGAAAAGTATTTTGACCCGCCTTTCTCAATGGGAAAAATTAAAAATATAATAAATAATAGCACCAGAGCTCCTATTAGTCAGCATTGCTGTTCGCTCCCCACCGCGTAAAGGTGGGAGATGGATTTTAGGGAAGCAAAGAGGTGAAAAAAAGAATGAATAAAAGAAGGTAGAAATATAGAAGAAAGAGATATAGATGTGAAAAAAAAATTCTAAAAAATTAAGATCTGATAGTTAATAAAAAAAAGAAACAATAGTTCTATTGCCTTTGCATCTATGGGATTTATAATATTAATAATTTTATAAAAAAGTAGGTAAATCCTTATTTGAAATAAATATAATACAGTATTATTTAAACCTAAAGGCAAATAATATGGATGATATTATAAAAGAGAGGTATACACAATATTTTTAGTATACATTTTTTCATTAGAAAACATATGTCCTTGCAACGTGGGGACAATAATAATTTTTGTATTTATTTTAGAAGTGCAACGACTTAAGGCAACGTAAAGTTGTCCGTGTGTAAATACAGTTCATGAAGATATAACCCTACCGAAGGTTTGTCCCTGGCTTTTATTTATAGTGATAACAAATGCAGGAAGAATTGGAAATTGACGACGTTTTAAAATAAAGGGTTATTGTGATTCACTTGGAGTTAAATCAATGCGAGGAATAAAGACCCTGTAACCTTTATTGGTGCCTGTAATTATTTCGGCATCCAAAAAATAATTGTGCATACTTTTGATTATTAATCGGGGGCCATTCAATAATCCTTTTATAGGATTCATATTGCGGAGAAGTAGAATAATTGTGCTAACTTTTAATGATAGTATGTGCGGTGGCATTCCAGAAGGTGTGAGAATTTAGAAATTCAAGTGGATAGTTGAGAGAATCATCTGTGTGATCGGAAAGGAATGAATCAGAGCTATAATATTGTCTTAAAGGGCATGGAAGTTTTGATATAATAGTGTTATTTAACGTTAGTGTAATATCGTTTTTTGTTGTTAGAATTATGCTGGTAGATAAATAATCAATATTATTAAGTAAAAGAGAATCACCATATATGGATGAAATTAGAGAATTCTCAAGCATAGATAAGGGAATTTCTACATAGTGAGAAGGAAGGGGGGAAGGTAATAGTGGTGTATTCCCTTCACCTATTTGTAGAAGCCATTTAATATAACTTTCCTCTTCAGAATAAGTGCGCATTTTATGGGTTAATTGAATTTGGTGGAAAATATGCCATAAATTCATAGATTTAATACATGATTCGATGATACATGTTTTAGAAGCCCTAGGTATAACAGGTAAAGTTTGTCTAAAATCACCTCCTAATAAAATAACTTTGCCTCCGAAGGGAGTAATTATTTGCATAATTTCCCTAAGCAAGACATCTATACAACGTATAGCATGTTTTGTCATCATGCTTGATTCATCTATAATTATTAAGTGGGCAAGTTTAATTTCCTTAGCTTGTGTAGATAGAGGTCTCATATGCGAAACCGATGTGTTTAAAATAGGTATAGGAAGTTTAAAGCCACTATGAATTGTTTTTCCACCATTTAGTAGTATGGATGAAATTCCTGTTGTAGCAAATGGCAAAACAATTTTATTTTGCCCTCTAAGATAATATATTAAAGTATTGTAAAGGTAAGTTTTTCCTGATCCCCCTGGACCATCAAGATAAAAATATCTAGTGGTACATGAAATATCTTCTATTGCGTGAATAATTAGATCAAAAGTGTATTTTTGTAAAGAATTTAAACTGTATAACATTACTAAAGCCTTAGCTGTCTCCGTTACTGAATCATATAATTTTGGTTGAAGAATAGGCTCAGGGATAGGAAGATTAAAATTGTTGCAATCTAACCCGTGAGCATTAAGAATATTAGAAATATCATGCAGCTAAATTAATAACAATTGACTAAGAATTAGTACGCAAAAATCTTCAATTAGGTAAGGTTTGAATTTATCCCATAGATATTCAGGGTTTTGAGGTTGACCGAAAACACATATAAAAGCAAAAGTGAGTCTAAATTGAAAAGGCATTTGAAATAAGGATGTCTCTTCAAGACAATGCTCCCACTCTTTATCATCAGAAAATAAATGTCTTTTGATAGCAGTCTCTTTAAAGGTATTTAACAAAATGTTATCAACAGTTTTCAAAAAATCGAAGCTTGTTGCTCCAGGAACATGAAGAAGAAGTAGGCGTGGATAAAACCGTTCTCCACATTTAATAGAGATAATAGATTGATGGCCACGTTTTCTCTCACGCCAGGTATAATTAACAAAAACATAGTGATAGATAAGGAATATCAATGTATAGATATTGTCTGGCGCAAGGATTGAATTGATTTAAGATAAACCAAGCAGTATCTGTAGTTTATTTCAAATTGGCTCTTTTGAAAGCCTCCCTCTCATCGCCCAGTTGAAAATAGACAGATTGTTTACTGCATGGGATTCTTTAATAACCGCCACATCGCTTCATATAAGCTAACATACCGGGTGTTTAAATGAGTTTTAATTTCATCATATTTAGGTGGGAGAGATTCTAAATTTAAATCGATATTTGCACAATCATAACCTTTATACACATATTTAAATATATATTTAACTTATTTAACAGAAGTGCATATTTCAACATTGATATGGGCATTGTATTTCAAAAGTAAGTAGGTATTGTATGGAATAATAAAATGATTATCAACAGGTTTACCAGATATTAATATAGAACCTACATCCCTTCTTTTATAAAGAGGATACCCATTAATATTTGTTATTGTATTATTTATAAATTCTTTAGGAAAGTTTTTTGTACATTTACCATTATCCATGCAAGATAATTGAGGATTAAGAACGCCATGTTTATGTTTTGCGTTAATAAAAATCAGTGGCGTGCCTAGAGGGGAGCGCTGGGCTCGAGCCCCCCGTAAAATTTGAATAGCCCCCTGAAGCAAAAAAATTTTTTTAATGGAATCTTAACCCCTTGAACTTAAAATTAATATTTTTGATTGTCCCCTGAAAGATTTCTTTTATAATTCTATTAAGTAAAATATAGATTTAATTTTATTATTTAAAAATTAATAAGACTATCTAAATATTTATTAAATTAATTAAATATTAGATTAAATTAATACATATAAATTATATTTTCACTATGTCAGCTACCAGTCAAATTTTGTGTTAAAAATAGAATATCAATATCACTCACTAAGTATTAATTTAGCATTAACAGTTGAAGCTTACTTGACTATTATTTTTTAAATTATTTTATAACCCATCCCATTAATTGAAAACTAAAAAAAATATTGTAATTAGCAGAGTTTAAAATGACTAATCAACACTTTATTTATTTTTAAATTTTATTATCATACCTATTCCTAAATATATTTTCAAGGTCCAAATAAGTATAATAAAAAGTAAGTAAGTAGACATATAGTTTATAATCCTCTATTATATACAGTTGTTTAGAAATATTAGATAAAATGCCACTTTTATAGACGTACTTGACAGTTATAATATATTACAGCCAATATTATAATGAATTTTAGTAATAAATTTTTTTGATAATAAATATCGTAACAATTTGCTTTCAAGTATTTAATGCCATCTATTTAGGTATAAATAATTTTAAAAATTAAATTTTATTATTCATCTACAATAGATGTAATAAATTTGATACCTTTTCTTTTCTTTTTTATGTTAGGAAAGCTATTTTTTTTCTTTTTCAAAAAACTGTTTTGAGTTAAATTTTTAATACAAGTATATTTTTGATATTTTTACAAACTACGTATTTTAAGATATAATATACCAACTAGAGGTGGTGCGACAATATATAAAATCTTAATTGTTTCATTATATCATTCTGGTACTTATTTTATAGTTCCAAAATGTTTCATTTCATGGCATCCTTGCCCTGTAAATAATTCAAGACTTCAATATATTTGCACAATTATTTCTTCCAAAGATTTTTAGTATTTTTATTTTATCAATTTATCCAACATAATAAATTCTGATGCTAGTTTACATCGTAAGTGTCATGGCTATTACTGCAAATTAACCAGCATCTATTATTTGTGTTGCTATGTAATTTAAGATTATTACTACAACGGCTGAGAGCATATGATTGCATATTTTAGATAAACAATAATGGTCAACTATGTAGTCGTTTATATATTATATATCATTTATGATGGATGATATATCTCACAATAATTTTCTCGATTACCTATCTAGCTACCATTATGTCATCTAAAAGGAAGCTCTAACCACTTAATAGTTTTATGATTTGGATTGGTCGTTTATACTCTCTTCTTCAAGAATTGTTGATTTGGTTTAGGCCTATAAATTTTTCCTTATTAGTCCATTCTAAAAATGTGTAAAATAGTAACAGAGAGTTATTCTAAAAATGTGTAAAATAGTAACAGAGAGTTATTCTAAAAATGTGTAAAATACTAAAGAGAGTTATATTAGTTTGATAACCTTTTGTCAATGTAAGTTGCTAAGAATTATATTATTGGATTATGTGGTTTTTAAAAACTATTATCAATTGAGACATATGTATGAATTAATTAATCTTTTTTATCACTTGTAATTCTTTAGACGCAAATTTTTTTTATATCAGCAATCGAAAATATTTTATACTGTAATAAATAGATATTGTTTTAATTAATTTTATATTTAGAAATGTCTTGTATTGTTAAAATTATTTATATGCCAGTTTATTTTGTATGCATAATATAATAAATGAGAAAATTAAAATTCAGAATAATTGTTCAGAGTTAACAAATTTAAAAAAAGTATAAAATATGGCCGAAGGCCGGCAAATTGGAGGGCATGAGGGGCAAGCCCCCCATAAAATTATTTTAGTTGAGCCTCCTGAGATTGCAAAGGCTAGCGACGCCCCTGATAAAAATATTCATTACATCTTAAGATGCCAGCTTAAACAGATAAAATTAATATGATCAAAAGATTTTTTAATTACTATTTATTTGATACCCATATAAATTTTTATTTTTACCATTCCACCCCTTCTTCCCAGATGGAGTCCAACCCTTTAAGATAATAAATACTTTCAGTCAAAAGATATTTAAAATACCTTTTATATGATTCCTATATCAATATTTTGTGTTTATATAAATATTCTGATCACCTAAGATCTCCCGCCTACTTATAGTGCAATTATTATTATTACAATAAAATAATATTTTAATTACCTTTTAATTGATACCCATATCAAAAAAAATTATTTTTATCCCCCCAGCATCCACCCTCCAGATCAAGTCTTTCAATCTAAAGATAATTGAATTAGCTTTTATTTGATACCCATATCGATAATATGTGTTGATAAAAATATTCCTGACCCCCAAAAACCTAGACTCGCCCTCTATGAGTGATTATTATTATTACAATAAAAAAATATTTTAATTACCTTTTATTTGATATCCATATTAACCCAAATAAAATTCATATCTCCGATCGTAACTTACCGGGTTCCATTCTTTTTCTCAATAATGGTCCAGGTGCCGTACTCCTTCTCTTCCGATGGAAAACTCCACGCGACTCAATATATGTCCAATGTATTCCATAATCACCCCAGATTTCCAAATTTTATACTTCCAAATACTCTGGCTCATACAGTTTGTCTTACCACGAATACAGATGTTTCCTTTACCTCCGCCTGCCCCTCTTTATTTGGCTGTTATTTCAATAAATCAAATAAAATCCGAGTTCATCGCCCTAAAAACTCCACCAGCGATTCCTCCTCCCCCTTTTGATTATTATGCCTTGACACCCAAATTTCTCCACCTCCATACTTTGATTTTCTCAACAATTTTTGATAAACACCACCATTCTCTCCGCTCACCATTTGCTCGGATGATACGGCGGTACTAAAATGGGCCTCGCCTCTGTTTCTGCTTAAAATGTCTTGAAATATTTATTGATGATGGCTGGTCCCTCTTCCGATACAATTATTCTGGCCACCCAAAACCGGGCTATATATTTTTTAATGTTTTTATTACCACCTGAGTCGTCAAGCCACTTACCTCTTCATACTCCACCCATTTTAAATAAGCATCCACCAGAAGTACTTATTCTCGAAATCTACATGCGTTTTCACGGCTGAGTTGCTTTTGGCCAATCACGTTCCTTGTCTTCAAGGAACATGCGGGCCCAATAATTGCACATCATGCAACTCCTGATAATATTTTCAATCTCTTTAGTTATTTTCGCAATCTTTTAAGGTGATATTTAAATTCTTCCCACGTTATCAGCCATATCTAGGTCATCATCCTAATCAATACTTGCTCACGTCCTTATATATAATAAACCTGCTTCTAATTAGATATTATCCACTAATGACGGCTAGAGCTTATTGCTCAATGGACTGTATATCTGATCTCTGCCGTCCTAAATATCCTTTAAAAAAATAACACCTGTCTCTTTAATTCTATAAAATGCAATGTTTCTCCTGCTTTATTTGATGCATCCACAGCCAACATTACCTCCTAATCATTTCTCAAGTTCCTTTTTCCATTCAAATATTTTCCTCTTCTTTTTAACAATTGATAAAGGTACTGCTATTTGGGCAAATTCCTCCACCCGATGGTAATAGTTGACCATTCCCCAAAGGGTATGCATCTCCGCTTTATTATTTGGTTTCAACATGCTGGTAATTCCTGTCATATTTTTATCCAATGATCTAACCTCTCTCACAATAATTCTGTACCCGATATATGCCACCTCCATTACTCCCAAAATTATTCAGCATTTGCCCGCAATCCATTTTTTTTAATTCTACGAAATACCTCCCTTAATCTATATTCATATTGTTCGGGAGTTCATCCCGTCAACAACACATCATCCATAGAGTAGAACACTCTTTTCATTCCCTGAAAACTGCTACCATTGTTCACTAAAAAATTAGGGGCTGACACACTAGGTCCAAATGGCAATCTACGAAATGCAAACAGTCTTGTAATGATAGTTAATAATTTCCTCGCTTACGGCCTCACGCTCAGCTACGGATACGCATACGAAAAAAATCCAATTTTGAAAAATAGACACCTCCCTTTAAGTTCGCTAATATCTCACCCTTAGCAGCGGATATTTCACCTCCACAATCCACGGGTTTTAACGTGCCAAAAATCTGCATAAAATCGGAATCTTCTGTTGGCTCCCCACTGGAACCAACGGAGTCTCCCAGTACACAATGCCCTTCTGTGCCTATTGATCCAACTCAACTTCTTTTCGCCACTCAAACGGTACTCGTCGTAACGGACAAATTCTCAGCACG